CGAATGGACCATTTTCCGTAAAAAAGCCTTCGGACGATGCACAACCCGGTCCACCGTTTAGCCAAAGCACGATAGGGTCACTTGCAGGAGAGCGTCGTGACTGTGCATACCAATAGAATAGTTTTTCATTTGTGGACGATGGGAGGTGCAACTGACCAGCAAAGTGTGAAAAGGGGACGTCCCCTTGCCTTAATCCCGGTAGATCCCCAACTCGATGGGCGTCGTACGCGACGGCAGAGGAAAGAGAAAGAATTGGTGTTAGGAAAATGGAAAGCTTCATAGGATTAGCAATTGTCAGACAGAAGATGCTCTGGTAAGATGTAAAGTGAGAATGACGCTATAGAAGAGATGAAGGGATCAGTTAGGAGGATCCACTTAGAGTATAAATGAAAGGGTGGATTACATAAAAGATTTGAAAAGACGTACGTCCGCTGGATATTTCCAAATTGAGTGAACATATCGCACAATACAAAAGATTGAAACCTCTTTCATTGAAATGACAAGAACACAAAGCTCGTTACGAACATGCACTTAAACTACAGCTTGGTAGCCATTACAGAAACGTTTGCGGTTCCGACCGTTGTAATAACCAACGACTACTAATAGAGAAACTCCACAAGTTATCATCATAATCAACAAAATCGTTGACTTGTTTGATACAACATTACCGTTCAGATAGTCCAACTTTACATTCTGAACAGTTAAGCCAGTCTCAATCTCATTGTCATCCATTGGATACATAAATTTCTCACAAGCGTCTTGTCCAAACACAAAACATTCAAAGAGATGAAGACCATGGAGTGGACGCACTGCAGGGACCATATGACCAGCACCTTTCACAGTCTTAAATGTTAGACCTTCATACTCTTGAACATATCCAGCAAGTTGTTTATCTGGACCAAACCATGCGTGCCACTTCTCTAGAATTCGCAGTTGAAGACCTTGACCACCAATCCAGCGCTCAGTACCAATAAAGTTTACAACAGAGTCAGCATCACCACTGTAAATGAGAGCTGTGAGGTTTTGATTCAAAATATTCTGGTACTTTGGTAATGAAGAGGGACTTGATGTATAGAGATCGCCTACGAGATCACTGCATCCATTCCATTTGACATAATTACCATCTACACTATCAGTCACGTGTATCGCTTCCTGAACTTCTGGTAGATTCAAGTAAAGATGAGTGAGGGAATCAGCACAAGCTCCAATATCTCCACGATGTGTTGGTGAAATTTGTACGGATGGTTTTGCTTTCTTACGAAGAGCTTTAGCTTGAGTATTATCCATGAGACATATGTCACCATAGATAAAATATGGATCCAATGCATCAGCGTTTGCTTCACTTTCTGCTTCTTTTAAAAGTGCTTCACAACCAACAGGACAAGGTGTTGCATCAAAGAGACAACCAATATGAGCACCACATTGTACTTTAATAGTCTCATAAGCTTCTAATGATACCATTGCATGAGAATAATAATAATCAATGTATGCATTGCCATCAATAAGATTATCTGTGAATGGATTACCAATAGCAAATCCCTTAAGGTTCACACCTTCAAGTGGATCATTCACTAAGCGATCAACAAGGTATGGAATGTACATACCAGCATAACTCTCTCCAGTAATATAAAACTCACGATCCTTCAGTTCTTTAAACTTATTGAAAAAAAGACGAAGGAATTCATGAGTTTTTAACGCAACAATATCGTCATTATAGTAATCAGGTCCTTTCACATCACCACTAAAACCAACACCAGCAGGAGATTCAAGCCACACCATATTAACCTTACGATTCCATGAATATCGATTCACTTGAAGACTTAAGTTATCACGAACAACAAATGGTCCATTCTCCGTAAAGAAACCACCTAATGAAGAACAACCTGGTCCACCATTTAACCATAAAACAATCGGATCATTCTTCGGTTCATCTTGACTTTCTGTATACCAATAAAACAACTTTTCATTTTCTTGTAATTGAATATGTCCAGCGTAATGTTGAAACGAGAGTTGAGAAGTCAAACCAGGTAATTGCTTTACAAGTGTATCATCATGATCATGACTTGAGACCATCGCCAATAATATTGGGACGAATAATAATTGAACCTTCATATTGCAACGATAATTTCGAAATGATCGGTTCTTTGCATTAGAAATCTAGCAAGACAAGAAATTGAGGAATTCAAATTTTAGAATCAGATTCTGGTACAGACGACTGGGTGAGGTATCAGATTCCCAAGTCGACGACGTGTACCAGCTGTTTGAATTAAAAATGGTACAGAATATAAAACTTAGTTATTCTTCTTAAAATTGTATTCACAAGTCGAAACTATTCTTTCGTCTCGTTAGTCTTACTTGATACAAGTTTTGCTCCTTTTCCAAGACGATCACAGACGATCGTAATGTGTTTCTTCAATCGCTTAGTATCATCTTGAATTGAAAGTTCCGTTGTTAAAACAACGGGATTTAACTCTTTATTCGGAGGTTGTTTAGCTAAAAGTGTACGCAGTAATTCCGTCATGGCCGAATCTGTACGCTCTTCCCATCCTTGTTCGACCAAATTACTATCATTAATAATAGGAGATAGATATGCTTCTAATACTTCTGCATCTTCATCACTTAAATGAAAACGTAACTTAATCAATAGAAGAATAAGCGACACACAACACGCAAGACGATTCGCTGCACGTTGTAACTTGATTTCCACTGTATCCATTTCGTGTGACAATGCAAGTAATTGATCGTACGTTCCATGTAATAAAACATCCAAATATTGTACGACTGGAGGGTTACGATCTTTGTATCGTACCAATAATCGTTTTTCAATAACACGATATTGATGAGCTCGATCATTCAATTGAGCAATAAGTTCCAACTTTTCCTTCCGTAAATTAAAGTGAACATCAATTATCCCAAAGAAATCTGCAAGTGGAAGTGGTTCTTGATAATAAATTTCCAATGGTATCAACGTCTCAACACTTTCTTTCATTCTCACGTTTCGAGTATCAAAATATCTTTCCAATCGAGCAACTAATTCCGATGAAATCATCCAAAGTGCTTCAAGTTCATTCGATTGGATACGATAACGTCCAGCATTCTTTGATACAAGTATTGTGACATCAATCCCATTATAATATTGAAAACTTAAGACATTTGTTCCGGAATTTCCAATTAAAAGTTGACTTGTCCATTCTGGTGTACAATTTGGTTGATGTAACATTTCATCAAATAATTTCACTAGTTCAAGCGGTTCTTGATTCGTTTCAAGTGTAAATTTATAGTTACATGACTTGACAGGAGGTACAACACGACAAAGTAAACAGAATGGAAGTTTCACATGATATTGTGAAACACGTGGCTGTCCAGTCTCGAGTGTATACGATGCTGCGATGATTAAATCTAATGAACTTGGCATGATTTCAACATTTGGATGTAAGATCACAGAAATACAAAGTGGTGTCGATGTCTTTCCATCAATTCTTTCAATATTATACGAAGATTTCATTGCAACAATATTTTCAGGTGTTGAAATTGATAACGTGACATTTGAAACAAATGTTGTTCCTGTATACGTGAGATAGATCCGCATAGTCAATTGTGTCGATATTCCAAGAAGATTTGAACTTTGATTTCCATTGTAATTGAACTTTTCATTACGATCTGAAAGATTTTCAAGAATTGTTGGTATTTGAGCTCGAATTAACACTCGATCTTTTGGTTCTATTCGTCGTTCACCTTGTGCTCGACGAATGACACCCAATAATTGACGATGTTCTTCATCCATTTCTTCATAATTAATTTCTTTTGTATCAGGTGCAACTACAGCAGTAGATGGTGGATCAGTGCCCATATAATTCACTCGTAATGCTCCATCTGCATCAAGACTAACAATCATACCATTCAATCCACCAAATGCACCAACACCAAGTGCTACTGGAACTGTGGAAGCACATGCAGACCAAATGAGTGTTTTATCTTGATAAACATTCCAGATTTTTGAATGACTAGCAATTAAAAGATTCTCAAGACTTTGGATTGAAAGATCTTGTTGATAGAGAAGAAAGACAGACGGTGAAAAGCCAAGTCGCTTTTGTAGATAGATTTCTCCTTGTGATTTAATTCCAAATAATGTAAATTCACCAAGTACAAGAATTTCAAAACTTGGATTTGAATCTTCATTTGAAGTTTTAGTTACTTGAATATCGAGAATTGTTTCACCAAGATTAAGTTTCCATTCACAATGTACAAACGTTGCAATCTTACGATCTTCTTGAGTCTCTTCATTCAATACATTGGAATGTTTTTTTAAAGATGCAGATGCTAATGCTTGATATCGATAACATTCAACGTGAAAGTCCGAAGTTGATGCGATAATAGCATCGAGTTTTGATGCATAAATTATTGCTCCAGGTAAGAAATTATTGTTCAGTGATTGCAGAAATGAAAATCGATCTTGTTCAAAAAATTGAAGACGTCCATCTAAGGATTGAACACATAAATGATCTCGTGGGATCGTTTTTTCCATCAAACTCGAACTTTGGGTTCCAAAAGGTCCGTAAATGAAGTTAAAAGCCGTGAAATGTTTTCCATCAACACCAAGTAAATGTTCGTATCGTAGCACAAGTTTAAAATAATTCGCTGCCATTCCATTTCCACCAATACCTTCGACAACATAAACTCCAATTCGTCTTGGATGTAGAATTGCAAGTGCTAGAATACGTTGATTCCTAAGAGATTGTGTCAATAATTGTCATTACTTTTGAAATGAAGAAAGTTACAAAAACTTACGGAATGAAAGAACCTAAAGCTAATTGTAATATTGGTCGTCGTAGATTCTCTTCTAGCAATAGATGCTCAATACGAAAGTCACGTTCGGTTGGACAATACATTCGTAACATGCCATTCAAACTACCCGTGACGATCTTCACTAGAAACAAGATTTAGAACAATATAACAATAAATTTCCAACAAGATTTTAAAATTTTACCGTGTCCTGATGGATCATTATCAACATTGCCAAGTACTAATCCACCAAATGTATATTCTTCATCTTCTTCACCTTTAACACGCCACCATTCACGTACTTGGAAGAGAGACATGGAAGGTATCTAATCGACGTCGTTTCAAGATTATTGGTATGAAATTTTTAAAAAAATATATAGATTACTAAAGGTCGGTTATTTTTTTAGATTAATATTAAATATAACAGTATCAAATATGAAAGCTACCCTTGCTCTCGCTGTCCGGAAGCATGTTGTCGCATTCGAGACGCCATTACAAGAGCGAAAGACGTTACGAGCTTTCAAACGTGAGGTTTTATCGCATAATATCATTCAATCATCGAATATATTACCTCGTGTGCTTTATGGGAGTGTAGCAATTGGTGATATCGAAGTGTTTCAATGGATTAATTATCTCCTTTCATCTGATGGTATGACGTTGGATTTAAACAAGACACGTGAATTAATGATGATGTTGATACAATTGAGTATTCAAGAAAGTGTCGAGATACCTACGTTCTTGACGTTGATTCAATGGGAAGATAAAGTTGCTCGCTATACAATCTCCGAGATTCTCACGTCAAATGTCGAGAAGATTTACATTTTAATTACGTATCGTCCACGACAATTATTACCGCTATCCATGGTATCAGCTCGACATGCTGTTCGATTTGTTCATACTGTGGTAGCATTGATTACAGCAAATGCTTACGTTTCGACATTAGGAGGTGGCCACTTTTTGTGTCGTCATGTAATCCAATCGAGATTATTGGCCAAAGTCCAAATTGGGATTTCAATGGGACTTCAAGATCCGGTGCTAGAAAGTAAATGTCGTGTACATTTAATGTATAATGCATTACAAGTGGGAAATTTTAAACGTGCACGGGAGATTTTAAAACGTGAAGAAGCTGTAGCAGAAGAATTGGAGAGTCGTGAATTGCGCAATGTTTGTTATGCAGCAAAGGTTTATTTTAACAAGATGAATCGACTTCATAAAGAGCAATTACTATTGGATAAGACTGGACATACTACGATGTTGTACGACAACTTTTACCGTCAAAGGATTGTACAAGAAGCGACATATAAATAAGCTCACGTTATTACTATGTTTCATACGAAGTAATACGAGGTAGGGGTAGTATTTTGTCACATCAGATGTGTGTCGTTACTATACATTCTTCTAAAGTATTACTAAGTTTTTATGAAATATTGAGTAGTATTTTAGCACAATCGTATACATGTTGTATCACTTCTTCCCGCGAAAGTCCAATCACAATTCATTACATTTATCGTTGTCTTGTCAATACAGACAGACGTGATGACCATGTTGCGATGTCATGGTCATCTGGGGGTCGACGATCGATTGAACGTCTGCAACTAAACGTGTGGTTTAGAAATTCCCCACCTCTTGCGCAATTCCTGATGGTATCTTAAGATCTGTTCATCGTTTCGATACGTTTTGGCGAGAAGTCTTCTGCAAACTTCGCCTCATGTCATACTGTCATTTGAAAGCTTGAGGGCAATTCCCCACACGTTGTGCATCATGTTTTTTTCAAAACGTGCACTTTTCGTATCGACTTTACTAGCATCACTTGATGTTACTATGGCAGAGTTAGAGAGTGTCAGCCTTTCACACCCGGACGGTTCGAGTGCCACGATACTTCTTTTTGGTGCACATGTCACGACGTTTCGGGCGGCCATAAATCCAAATCAAGACGTTATTTTCATGTCGAAAAAGTCTTTTATGGATGGCATAAATCCCATTCGTGGTGGTTGTCCCATTGTATTCCCAACTTTCGCTGGTGTACCTGGATTTCCCAACCACGGCTTCGCTCGCGTCACGAATTGGACATTGAGCAGTAGTCGGAATGCTACTGATAAGAACTATCCAAGTGAAGCAAGATTCACTATGAAGGCAAGTGATGTGACTCGTAAGATGTGGCCTGTGGAATTTGAGCTGGAGTACACAGTGCAATTGTATGCTAATCAGCTTAAAACGGCACTTTTAGTACGCAATACGCACACAGAACAATTTGAATTCAATTCGCTGCTTCATAATTACTTATGGGTCGACGATATTCGTGATGGAGGTGTGGCAGTCTCAGGTCTGAAAGGCGTCAGCTATTTTGACCAAGTGTCGAAATTGAATGAAACCGAAAGCCGCGATTCGATCACCATTACCAATTCAACAGCACAATTAGGCAATATGTACAAGGATGCTCCCGACAAAATTGTTGCGACGATCAAGGGTGCTAACAAGCAAAACCGTCTTGTGACTGTGCAGAAGAAAGGGTTCATTACCAGCAAAACTGGTCAAAAAGCTTACAAAACCAATACTGATGTCATTGTGTGGAACCCTGGGGCTGAGCGTGCGATGAAGCTGGAGGATTTTGGCCAAGATGAGTACATTAACATGATCTGCATCGAACCCGGTCGTGTCAGTGCCAAGCAACCTCTTCCAGCCGGCGAGACGTATACTTTACAACAGACTATCACAGTCTCCCTGAACTAAGTGATGAGTATGTACTACGATACAAAAATAGCAGTACATGATTGATGTCCATAAAAATAAATGCGTATTTAGTGTTTGATATCACTGTAAAAGACTACTATATTACTTTAAAAAAACAATACAGTAGTGCTATTTCAAGTATACACTAATAAAATACATTCTAAAACTACTATCAGATGGTAAATATACTCTGATAAAGTCATCTTTTGAGATATCACTTACGTAGCAAAGGAACTAATAGAAACATTGAAGTCAAGAGAAAAGATTAATTGAGTATCATCAACCGTGACTGCGACAAATAAAGAACTATAGATTGTTGTACATATCTTGCT